TTTTTCTCCATTGTGCTGCAATTATAATACAGTAATGAACAGACACGTGTGACTTGAAGGAATCCGTATCACGTGCCTTTAATAGAGCACAGATGTTCATGTTGGCAGCTCTTATTGTTCAACATGTTCCCCTATAGTTGCTTGTTGTTTTTTTCTCACACTATTCCTGATCTGGTAAACAGCAAAGAACAACTTGTCTGTCATACATGGGTGACCACAAACCTCCACGGGGCCATAGTACTGATCCACTGAGTCAGCCATTCTGCACGGAGTTGGTGATTCCATGAGGGAGCAAGTGAATAACTGGAACCAACACTTCTTCTCCTCCATATTTTACTAAACAGCCCTGAATGTTGCCACGACTGGCAAGGCCAGCATGCAATCAGTGCTGATCTTTAGCTTAGACCTTCAGTAAGATAGTTCAATAAACATAATGACATCATGTCATGACATCATTACTTTCCTCTACATTTGCATCAGCTTGCTTGCTTTTACAGGAAAACATATATATTCACTGCTCGTCCAACTTAATTGACACCAGGGAAGTGCCACACACATTACTTTCAACATTCAGCACTCAAGGGCATGAACAACATTCCCAGAACCCATTAGGTACCCACCCAGAACAGATTTTGTCATCCTACAAGTAAAGACAGCTAAATAAACAGAAAGGTCAGTTTTAGAGTGTCAAAGCTTGAAAAAAAAATAAAAAATAAAAGATTAAAAAAGTCACAGTATTACTTCTGGGGGGAATATGAAGCAAAAGTCCTACAGTACCTTGTGCAATGGGGCTTCAGACCCAGTTGGAAACACTGGACACTATGGTAATACAGTACTGGTGCCAAGAGACTGAAGTTTTAACGTCACCTTTTCCCATCTCCCCAAAACCCTCCGAATATCAACCACGATGTCACTGCTCCCAGGGTTGTTTTAGCGTTGACTGGAAAGGCTCTGCAGAAGAAAGAGTAACCCTGGAAACTGGAAGTGCATTGTGTGAGGTGGATAATGTGAACTAATGCACAGAACTGAGCATGGCAGAAGGAAACTGAGAGAGGCATTCGGCATTGTTCATGGACTGCAGGACAGTATATAAAATCATAGACCTAAGACCAGCATGTGTTGAGGGCCGCCGTGAAGTAAAAGAGTGGAAAACATTGTATTTATGTGATAGAACAGGTTTCATCTAAGATATCTCCCTGGGGATCAATTTATATCCAGCTCTGTTCTACTGCTCCACCAGCAACAAATGCAGAAGATATCTGTATATTTACAAGAAGCACTGAAAACTGTCGTATTTGTTGGAAAGGAGGGGCAGAGGGTAAAGGAGAAAGTGTCATAGTTTACAGCCATGTGTTTTCAAACAGAGACTAATGCATGCATACCGGCACTCACTTTCACACGCCAGTGCCAAAATACTGATTAACTGCAGAGTTATCTTTGTAGTGACACTACACACGGAGCAAAGCCGGTAAAATCAGGGACTACAATGACATACTTTGGGCCATCCATGTCCTAAATTGGAAATACTTCATGACTCTCCACTCACCCCTACCAAAGGTGGCTTTGCTAAGTCCCTAATTTAGGATTCAGACTCCTGCTTGACTCCATACACCAAGTTCTAGGCACATCTGTAAACCTTGCCATCTCAAGGCTTTTGTGTGACAACATCTGGGAATCAATTTACAGGATTTTAATTCAAAGGGTTGAGTTGTGCATATGAACTAGCACTCCGTGTCTGATCACTGGGTTAGCTGCAGTGCTGCAGTCCCATCCCCAAACCCGCAGACATCATCTATACAAGCCCTGTCAACAATTTATGCACATTTTAAAAGCATCAAAGTGTTTATCCCCATTTCTCCAAGAAAAAGAGCCTTTCCTAAACATAAACAAACACATAGAGAGACACAGACTTGTCTTTGCATGATTTTAGTAAAAACATGCTTTTCTTATTAAACTCTGTTATCCTTTGATCAAAAGCATCTTCTTTCCCAGGAAATCTATGACTAAGCACATGTAAATACTCATGTTGGGGATCTGCTCTTGTGGCAATTGTGGCCACCCCCAGAACTTCTCACTGGGTTTGTGTGTCCATTGCCCCATACTCACATGTGTAACACATTCTCCCTCCGTTCAGCTTCCCTGCCCATTCATCTGCTTGCCAAGTATGCTGGCTGACCAACTCATTAGCAACAGAAATGGGGTTGGGGTCCCAACCTGTCTATGGCAGAAGCTCACAATATCTCCGTTGACTGGGGTGGAGTCCATCCCACTTCCACCACTTCAGCAGAAGCGTCCTAACTCAGATGGTTGTGGACTCTGCTATAATCCTGTGGATTATTGAGAGCTTTCATTCCCACTTAACTTCAGCACAGACTAACGGTACTCCATCATCACTAGACACACCCATTATAAATTGCAGCGAGTGCGTGTGCTGCTCTCTCTTTGCTTCCTCCATAAGGCAGGTTCATATACATACAAATTATTTCAGTGTGGGCTTTCAGTGGAAGAAACATATTGCTGGCAAGCCCTGTGCCAGCATTTTTCCAGGGCTACAGCTTCCCCAGCGAGGCTGCCTGCAGCACATTCGGAGCCTGGCTCCATGTTTCACCCCCAGCCCCTGGCACCGCGGCCAGCCCAAGCAGCTCGTGGCTCCAGCCCGCTGTGGCATCGGCCAGCCACCGCTTGGGATGAGGCAAAGCCTTACCAAGAAAGCTGAGCTCATGTTTCCAAGAAGCAAAGAGAAAGGGAGATGTTTGAGCAGAGCTTTGCCATTGCCTGTGGTTTCTCCTAGGCTAGCAGTAAACTTGGGTTGTTTATCGGATCCCAAACTTTCTTCGCATGTACACAGGAAAACAGATGCTTCCCACTCCCGGGCCCCGTGCTCGAGCCAGGCTCCCTCAGCAAAACCCGCAGGTAGGGTACACAGCTGGGATAGCAGAGACACCGCTTCCTGCCTCTGGCCGCTCTGAGCCTGCGATACCGCATTATCTATCCCGTGCATTTCTTTGCCCCCTTGCCAGGGGCTCGCAGCTTGTGGCTTGCTTTTCCTGTGCGGTGGGAACAGCCACCGCCTGCGCTCCCAAACAGGGAGCAGAGGCCAGGCCTTGCAAGCGCTTTGGCTCAAACAATGTGCATGGGGCACAGATGACAAAGCTGGGAAGCAAGCCAGGTCTCCCTGAGCCTGAGCAGGTGGGTGCCCTGACTGCTGGGTTACCTTTCATCTCCCAGCATTAAAGGCCTGGCACGGTCCATCTGCAGTCCTATCTTCAGTAAGCCTCAGGTGCAGCCTTCCATTTGATTCTGTTATGCCAGCAGCAAATTAAGTTTCAGACTCTTACAATGAATTAGAGAGGTGAAGGGGAAATGGAGCACTAACTCATGTGCCTGGACATATGCTTATCTTAACTGTGAGGCTCCAGGAAGGCCACCTATCGTGGTCTCTCGCTTCTTCCTCTGGCACAGGGCTGCCGGTCACTGCTGTGCCAGAGCTGTGATATATTGCCGCTGAGGGTGCCCTTCCGTGGAGGGCCCTTCAGCTTTCTGCCTGAAGAAAATCCCCACAAGTGACACAGGTTTCTTGAGTACATGATACACTCACTGTTTCCCCCTCTTGTGACATTTCTTTACATAAGCAGATGAACAGCAAAACATTAGTGTTCATTACTAATTTATTTATAGCGGGCTGCTACAGATGGAGACGGCAGCACCATTCTATCTTTAGGGCGTAGCGCCTGCCTGTCCATACAGACAATTGGTAATTAGCACAAGAACAATTTGTTTATGTATTCTCAAACTTAAATAAATAGGAGAGCCATTTATCTGTCAAAATTCAAGTCCCTTCCATTGCTGGATTTCCAGGTTAACTGCTTAAAGAGCAGAGCTCAGTGCTTCAGGCATGTAGGTAGAGACAAAAGTATCTTATAAAACATTTTCCATCAAAGCAAATGAGATATGCAATAAAAACAATGGGTTATGTACTGTAGGGCTAGCATTGAGATCACTAGGATCAGGAGCACGGGACAAGATGAAGCTCATGGTGATGTCAAGCCAAGGCATAGAAATGGACCAAACAGGACGTAGGGAAGGCGTGGTGTGAATATCCAGACAGACCTGGTCGCTGTCCTGCCATGTGCACTTCCTAGCAGCCTGTGCAACCCAGCTCTCAGCTGATCTCTACAAGTGAATCCTTGCTTGAGAGTGAAACTGAGGAGCAGAAGGGAGAGGGGATACTAGCAGCTTTCCAAATAAAATCCTACATGTGCACTCAGATGTACTTGCATGCTCAGATGGCAGAACCCTGCCCAATGTAAACATCACATGAGCCAAGGGAGAAGACATGACATAATTTTTTCTATTTTTATTGCTGATCCCAACCCTTCTTTGTTCTCTTTTATTCCCTACACCCACCCCTGAAATTAGAGGAGAAAGGGCGCTTTATGAATAGATGGACTTTGTGAGTTGTACCCAAGAGTTGGCCCCTGTTCCCCCTCGCCTTCCCCCACCACTGCTGATGGGAGGGGAATGGGAGCTGCCGAGGGACAGCTCACACTCATGCTAAAGGCCAAAGCAGTTGGCGTGGAAAAAGAAACAACCCTCATCTTTCTTAGAACTCAAATGTTTTCAGCATCTGAACGTGTTCGCGTATTCAGGCTTGCAGGTGCAGCTTTTTTACATGCATATGAGTCTATGCACATCCACACGTACACAGTGGGGAGGGGGAGGGGGGAATAAAATAAAAATAAAAGGAAGGTTTAGAAGTTACTGCTATTAGGCAGCAAAAGTGGGTCAGATCTGAGGAATTCTGCCTGGCCTCTATTTCCAACCATACGGGTCCCAGTGAAGAGCTCCTAGCTAATTGTCCTGCCACCTGGACAGTCTTCATTGGACCTATTTATCTTCCCATTGGCATGGGCATGAAAGCTATTAAATGAAAGTAAACTATTTCAGATACAATGGCTGGAAATGAATACTGATGAGGAGTTCCTTCTTCTGTCTTTCAGGTCACAACTCCGAATTTCCCGGTAGTGGTCAAGCTGGGACATGCTCACGCTGGAATGGGGAAGGTAAGGAAAAGGAAAAATACATACACTTCAGGAAAGAGATACCTATGTGGCACAGCATCCCTGCGATCGTACCCTGTGTGTGGCCAGATGGTGAAGGGTTTAGACGTCCCCCCGGCCTATCTGGGTGGCTCTGGATGCTGCTGGGGGAGAAGGGGCCTGCTGCTGCTGCCCTGCACTCGGAGCCAGGCAGCCAGGGTTGCAGGAGGGGGGGCGTGAAGAGCGGGGGGAAAGCTGGTTGGGCTGAAGTCATTAGGCTCGTCTTTTATACATTTTCTTCTCTCCCGAAAGTGGTGATGTTGTTTATTCAAGCACCTGCAATGCACAGCTACACCCCACAGTTCTCACAATGAGGCACGGCAGCGCTGGTCCTTCTGTGCGCATGATGATGAACTTATTCAACAAAGTGGGAGCCCTTCAGGTTTTTTTTTTTTTCTTCCTTGCTAGGAAGAACAAGACTTTACAAAGCAGAGTGGCTGGTCGCCTGCCAAGGAATCCTGAAAAACAGTTCGCTCCCCAGAAGGACCTGTTTGTTTTTCCCAGGCTCGCTGGGATCTTTATTCCCCCAGTGAATTACCAGCCCCTGTTTCTGGGGGTGTCTGGGCTCCCTTTTCAGTGAGGCTTCGCCAGCATGTCCCTGCTGTGCTTTTGCCTCCTTTCCTTGCATATACCTCTTTAAAAAAAACACCCTCTATCTGTCTAAAACGTGATTTGTTCAAAATTAGGGAATTCTGGTGTATCATCTCTGAATCCAAATGGGTGGTATTTGAACTTTGTGACTGACACCCCTCTCACAGCACTTCCTAGAGCAGACCAGACTTCTGCCTGCCTCACACTATCTTTGCCTGAAAATTATACATAGGTACAGCTGACCTAAAGCAGGGTACAGCTTGTTTGCTTGCGCTTCATAAACAGAAATTCCTTCTGGCTTCCTGGATTGCACACAGGAGCTCTCATGATCATTCTTGCTTTGGTTGCAATGTTCCCCTGTCTAGATGGTAGCTGCCAGAGAGGAAGTGGGCTCACATCCCTGGGCAAAGTGGTGGAGGTGGCTTACAGAATTAAAGCATGTGCATTTAAACAAGCAGGAAAAGTTTGCTAAAATATTGGTGTTCCGTATACTAAACACACAGGGGGGTCATTGAATGAGACTACATGCAGACCGCATAGATCTGCTTTCAGGGCAAGCTGTTGAACATGTCCCCAAGAAGGATTTCATTAGCAAAATCCAAACAGGACAAACCAGGAGGAAGAGGCTTCTCCCTGATGAAGGGTTTCAAGTTCCCTGAGGCCCCAGTGGGTATCTTAGTCCTACTGCAATCCTGGACCTCTCTGACTACTCTGCAGTTTCATCTGTAATGTAGGGAGAGCTTCATGTGTCTCTCTTGTGCAACAAGGATGCTTGGGTGGCTACAGAAATGAGGGAAGAATAGAATCAAAGGAAAGTGCCCCAACCTAAACAGCATTTCCAGACAAAACTGTCCCCAGAATATTTAACTGGTGTCTTCTGCACAAGACAGCAGATCTTCTTCCACCTCTCACTTTCTCTCCCATTTCATTCTCTAATGATACTGATTTTTGCTGTCACAAGTTACAAGGAAAGGGGGTTTCTATTGTGCACAATTCAGTGCACAATTGTATGCAATGGTACAAGGAGGTTACGCAGGAAGTCATTCCAGATGCAGATAGGCTGACAGCCAGGGTCCTAGAAGAAAGAACTGGTCTGAGGCCAAGTTTACTTTAGTCATTATGAAATTAGGGACTACTAGGAAAGTCTAAATGTGGATTTGGGCACAGAGTTTCAACACTGCTCTGTTCAGTAAATGGGGAAGGTAAAGGAAGGAAGCGCTGTTGACCTTACAGTTTAGGTTTGGGTTCTTCAGTTTAGGTTTCTACCTGTCACAATCAGCCTGATGGAAAGTTGAGGCTCGTTAAAGTAGTCTTCTTGAAGTCCCACTTCATTTCATTGCATTGAGGAAAAAAAAATAAAGAGAGAGAAGAGAGGAGGTGAAAATAAAATAAAGAACAAGTTGGTTGGTATAAAAAGCAAGTAACAGGAAATTGTTTTATTTTTAAGACAGTAGAGTTCAAGATCAAGTGGGGCTGATGGAAAGAAACCACAGAAAATGGCAGGAGAAATACAGATAAGCAGAACTATGGGTTTTCTAGAAAAACAACACTTTTACATTAAAAAAAAAGGGAGGGGGGAAGAAAGAAAGAAAGAAAGAAAGAAAGAAAGAAGAAAGAAAGAAAGAAAGAAAGAAAGAAAGAAAGAAGAAAGAAAGAAAGAAAGAAAGAAAGAAAGAAAGAAAGAAAGAAAGAAGAAAGAAAGAAGAAAGAAAGAACAGCAAAGAAAGAAAGAAAGAAAGAAAGAAAGAAAGAAGAAAGAAAGAAAGACAGAAAGAAGAAAAAGAAAGAAGAAGAAGAAAGAAAAGATAAGAAAGAAGAAGGAAGGAAGGAAGGAAGGAAGGAAGGAAGGAAGGAAGGAAGGAAGGAAGGAAGGAAGGAAGGAAGGAAGGAAGGAAGGAAGGAAGGAAGGAAGGAAGGAAGGAGGAGAGAAAGAGAGCAAGAAAGAGAGCAAGAGAGCAAGCAAGCAAGAAAGAAAGAAAGAAAGGAAGGAAGAAAGAAAGGAAGAAAGGAAGAAAATAGAATTATCAAATGTCCTTTTAAGAAACCCAGAAGAGGAACATTTCCAGGAGACATTATGGTGGTTTTAACCATTACAACATAAAAGCAATAATCAGTGACAATAAGGAGATTACAGAGAGGTAAAGGATTTCTTTGCATTGGTCTTCAGAAGTAGAGATGACAAGAAAATAGCAGGTCTTTAGTTCTAAATATACATAATAAGAAAAGAGAGAGGTTTGCTTTCGGTTTGGATGAGTGTTAAAAAGTAAGCATTAATAGAGCACCTACATCAGGTCATGTTTTGTATAGAAGCAGTGACTGAAGAAACAAAAGATAAAATAACCAGCCTATTAGCCAAAGTACACATGTGAGTATTAAAAATAGTACTTACTGCAGCAAATGATGCCAAGATAGAGAGCCATGTACCGGTACCTGTAATGGGTGCTTCAAAGGATTCAGATTACAATCTCATTACCAGGAGAAATTGTCAAAGAAGTACTTACATTTTTCTTTTTATTAACGATAAAATCACATGTAATGGGAGGCACCAAGACTTAGAAGAATGAGCAAAGACTGGAAGTCCAGACACTGTTATTCTTTATTTGTACTGAGGTAGTGGCCAGAAGCCAAACTCTGGACAAAGAAAAGGCATCTTCCCCAGCAAGCTCCACCATTGACCTGCAGGCAGATTTGTGTCATTTCACAGTTCTTCATCTTCTCTGTGTTATGGACCAGAGTGCTATAATGATTACTGGTAATTCATGTTCATAAGGCTCTTGGCACTCTCAGAAGTGCTGAGTGTTTATTATTTTGTAATAATGGCTAGAAAGAGCATAATTAAAATATTCAGACTATCATTTTCACATATCCTTTGTTTTCACAACATTTTCACTAAATTCGCTCACCACGTTTTTTAATGAAAGGGTTGAACAGAGAATCCTCAAACCTAAAATAAAAAATAACTGCATTAGGACTTGTAAGAAAGAGGCTCTGTTGATTGTCTTTAGCTTGGAAGTGGACCAGTCAAGGTCAGAACCAAGAAGGGTGGCAGCATACCAGTAGTGACAGAAAACCTCTTGCCATGTGATGCATGTATGTAAGGTGCAGGTTAGAGATGAGTAAAACCACAATAAAAGGCATCTTTTGAACTTTCTGTTGAGAAATCCAGAAACAGTAGCTGTGTTGTTTGACCTCAGTGCCAGGGAAACTCATGGAGCAGATTATTTTGAGTGTCATCACATGCCACTTACAAGGCAAGCAGGTGATCAGGCCCAGTCAGCATGGGTTTATGAAAGGCAGGTCCTGCTTTATGAACCTGATCTCCTTCTATGACAAAGTGACGCACTTGGTGGATGAGGGAAAGGCTGTGGATGTGGTCTACCTTGACTTCAGCAAGGCTTTTGACACCGTTTCCCACAGCATTCTCCTCAAAAAACTGTCTGCTCATGGCTTGGACTGGCGCACGCTTCATTGGGTTAAAAACTGGCTGGATAGCCGGGCCCAAAGAGTCGTGGTAAATGGAGTCAAGTCCAGTTGGAGGCCAGTCACTAGTGGCGTTCCCCAGGGCTCAGTACTGGGGCTGGTCCTCTTTAACATCTTCATCAATGATCTGGATGAGGGCATTGAGTGCACCCTCAGTAATTTTGCAGATGACACCAAGTTAGGGGCGTGTGTCGATCTGCTCGAGGGCAGGAAGGCTCTGCAGGAGGATCTGGATAGGCTGCACCGATGGGCCAAGGTCAACTGCATGAAGTTTAACAAGGCCAAGTGCTGGGTCCTCCACTCAGGGCACAATAACCCCAAGCAGAGCTACAGGCTGGGAGATGAGTGGTTGGAGAGCTGCCAGGCAGAGAAGGACCTGGGAGTGATGGTGGACAGTCGGCTGAATATGAGCCAGCAGTGTGCTCAGGTGGCCAAGAAGGCCAACGGCATCCTGGCTTGTATCAGAAACAGCATGACCAGCAGGGCTAGGGAGGTGATCGTCCCCCTGTACTCGGCTCTGGTGAGGCCACACCTCGAGTACTGTGTTCAGTTTTGGGCCCCTCGCTACAAGAAGGACATCGAGGTGCTTGAGCGGGTCCAGAGAAGGGCGACGAAGCTGGTGAGGGGCCTGGAGAACAAGTCCTACGAAGAGTGGCTGAAGGAGCTGGGCTTGTTCAGCCTGGAGGAAAGGCGGCTCAGGGGCGACCTTATCGCTCTCTATAAGTACATTAAAGGAGGCTGTAGAGAGGTGGGGGTTGGTCTATTCTCCTAGTGACAGGACGAGGGGGAACGGGCTAAACTTGCACCAGGGGTGTTTTCGGTTGGATATGAGGAAGAACTTTTTTACTGAGAGGGTTGTGAGGCATTGGAATGGGCTGCCCAGGATAGTGGTG